GAGGTTTTGTCGTGTTGTATTGTCCTTTTCATTTAATTCCAGGGATACTTTATTTCTTTCTTGATTTATCTTTTGACCCATTCATCATTCAGGAGTGTGTTGTTTAATCTCCATGTGTTCATGTGGTGATTAAGGCTTCTTCGTGTGTTGATTGTAAGCTTTATTGCATTGTGGTCTGATAGAATGCATGGAATTATTTCAGTCTTTTTGTATTTGTTGAGGTTTGTTTTGTGCCCCAGTATATGATCGATTTTGAAGAAGGTTCCATGTGGTGCTGAGTAGAAAGTATGTCCTTTGCTGCTTGGGTGGAATACTTAACTTGCTAGATGTTTCTTAAGTCCATTTGATGTATGGTATTGTTTAATTCAGATGTCTCTCTGTTAACTCTCTGGCCTGTTGACCTATCTAATGGAGATAGTGGGGTATTGAAGTTGCCTACTATTAATGAGTTGGGATTAATCTGGGTCTTAATGTCCTGTAGTATTGTTTTTTGGAAGTTGGGTGCACCAGAGTTTGGTGAATATATGTTCATGATTGTAATATCTTCTTGATTCATTGTTCCTTTGATCCAAGTGAAGTTGCCCTCTTTGTCTCTTCTGATTAGTTTTAAAGTCTATTTTGTCAGATATTAGAATTGCTATGCCTGCTTTTTTCTTAGTGCCATTTGCTTGGTATATTTTTTGCCATCCTTTCACTTTGAGATAGTGTCTGTCCTTGAAAGTGAGATGAGTTTCTTGCAGACAACAAAAAGATGGGGTCTGTTTATTAATCCATTCACATAGTCTGTGTGTTTTGCCTGGGGAGTTCAGTCTGTTAATATTTAAAGTTATTCATGCAAGATGGGTATTGAATCCTGTCATTTTTATTTCTGTTTACATTCTTGATATAGCTGTACTTTTCCACAGTTATACCTTCATTGGAATTCTTTCTGCAATCCCTCGGGTATAGTTATTCCTTTCTTCCCCTCTTTGTATTTCTTCCAGAACTCTCTGAGGGCTGGTTTTGTGGACATGAATTCCTTCAGTCTATTTATGTCATGGAAGATTTTTCTTTCCCCTTTGACTGTAATAGACATTTTGGCTGGGTATAGTAAACTGGGTTGTCATCTGGGATCATTTAAAACTGGGACTACTTTTGTCCAGGTTCTTCTGGCTTTCACAGTTTGCACTGAAAAGTCAGCTGTAATCCTAATGGGTTTTTCTTTATATGTGACTTGTTGTTTCTCTTGCAGCTTTCAGAATTTTATCTTTGTTTTGTGTGTGTAGTGTTTTTACTATGATGTGCCGTGGAGAGTTTCTGTTCTGGTCCTGTCTGTTTGGTGTTCTGTATGCTTCTTGTAATTGTATGGGCATGTCTTTCTTTAAGTTTGGGAAATTTTCTTCCACAATTCTGTTGAAGATCTGGTCCATGCCATTGTATTGGGATTCTTCTCCTTCCTGTATGCATATGATTCACAAGTTTGGTCTTTTTATGGTATCATTCAATTCCTGCATATTCCAGTCTTGTGATTTCTTAAATTTTTCATAGTCTTTGCTTGAGTGGTTCAGTTTGTCCACTTTATCTTCCAGTCTCGATACTCTGCTTTCCATTTCATTCATCCTATTGGTGAGGCTTTCTCCTGCTGTTTCTAATTGGCTTACTGAGTGTTTCACCCTTCTTCATTTCAGGCTGATTA